TTGAGCTTTATCAAACTATGTTTGCTTAGATTGACTAAAATGAGAAAATATAAGCGGAGATTGGTCAATTTGGCGATAATTTACATCATAAAGCGACTGTAACTAGAAAACTATTGAAAACAAAGTATAAGTTACTGAATGTTTCATATCCAGTTGCTTACTCTACAGAATCATGTACTTAAGACTACTTCGACAACTGAACCAAAGACTTGGGTCAGTCAGTTACAACTAGTCTGTTACAACGTAGAACTTCGTACGTACGTATATCAGTTCAGATCGCCATACCACATTAGCACAGTGACGCGATTGTCAATTCAAATCCAATAGAAGTAGAGGTAGTAGAAGTATTAGCAGTCATCAAAAAGACTAATGATGGAATAGATCATTCGATAGGAATCAATTAAACATAGAGAAAAAACGGCCTGTGGTGCGCGCTACTTATAAGTAGTGTATGACGTGAGTGAAAACGTAATGTCTGACAGCAAAAGATGGAGGAAGATCAGGAAAGGAAGAGCGGGAACACTATGGACTTTGTATGAAACGCATGAATAGTGAAATGTCAGACAATGGATTGATGATGGATTTAACATTTGCAAATTAACCATTTACGATATGGTTTTCCTATTTTACTGAGTAACTCCTTAATTTGCGATAAATACGATTCGGTTGCCCTGCTTCACTACAGGCCGAGTACCTGTCCATTTCTTCCTAGTTTACAAAAATGATTTAGACAAAATCATCTCTGTACGTTAACAAAACGTTTATCTATATGTGAGAACAGATATGGTATAATTCTGAGTTTGCTGTACTAGACAGAGAGTGTTTAGGTTACATATATATTAAGAACAACTAGCTTCTTCCTTAGAAGAACTAGGTAATCACATCTATAATATACAGTATGCCTAAACGTTTATTCCGTCTTAGGCGTGATTAAACGATCATATGGTAATCAAACTTGAAATCCTCAAGACCAAAACAAAAGAAGCAAACCAAAGAACACACTCTCGTGAGAATCTAAGGCAGACGTGAAAAGTATGTAGAGAGATAGGGAACAACTGTAAAGGAGAACCCAGGATAAAGTAGATTAGAGATTGTTGTTCAATTCCCTATGTTCGACGAGAGGTAACAGGTGTAAGAAAGTTAATAAGTAAGTAAAATGACAATCAAAGAAATTAGAATTGGCATACTCAAATCGATACACTCAGTACCCTAATTATGAGGTAGAATATTTTGTCATGTTTTATTAACCATTGAAAATAAGTTTTCCATATATTCTTTCTTTTAAATTGTACAACAATTTATGATTAATTTCAAATTGAAATTAAATATGGAAGGGTTCGAAGCTGTCAACTAATAATTCAAACATTAAAATCACTCTCAGTTTAAACGTTTTATTATCATTATTATCATTACATCATAAACTTACTCTTTCTGTTTCCAATCGATGCATTACATGTATAGGTAATTCCGATAAATCCACATCATTATGAAATAAATTTACAGTTACTAATGGTATTTTATTATTTTTATTTATTTCTAATTTTGAACTAGATAATGTACGATTTAGTGAAATTTTATTTTTAGAATTTTTTAATTTATTAAAAAGTTTTTCTTTAGATAATGAATGTTTTATTTTGGTTTTTTGATTGATTATTGTATTATTATCTAAAGGATATGAACAAATTGAACAAAAACATGATGTTTGTGAATTATTCGAATAGTTTAATGAACACAATGATGATGATCTTGATAGTGAGTTCAATGTACTTATTGATGAATAGAGAGATGATTCATCAGCAAAATGGACATGTTTATAATTTTCAGAAAGCTTATTATAATTTAAATAATTTGTCATATCAATAAATTGATTATTAGCATGAGTATTATTACTATTATTATTATTATTAATGTCATTTTCGTCGTTATCATCTGTATAATTATTATTATCATCTGAATGGCTTTTATTGATATTATTACTATTATTATTATTATTATTATTATTACTGCTTTGTAATGTTTGTTGTATCCATTTCGCTAAATTATGATGTGTATCTTGATAAAATGGATGATTTTTTAATTTTTTAAATGGGGAACATAATTTAGATTTATTTCTTCGATTCATCATAATCGATGTAGTCGGTGGCAGACTTGAACATCGATAATCTTTTTGATATGATGATGATGATGATGATGACGGTGACGACGATGACGTTGATGTAATCGGTTGAGCTATACATTCAACCGATGGGACACAATTCAATGTATATAAACAACATATATTACCAGTGGATAATGAATGTTTAATACTGTTACATGATTTTAATCTTAAATTAGATAAATAACAAGAAGTAAGTTTATCTTTACTCGAAGTTATTCGATGACTGATTGATTTTTCATTGATATCAAATTGAAAATGAATATGTGAACATTGATGCATGGAATTGTATAAATTATACGGTTTTAATAAACAATCTTCCGAATAATATTGTCTAGACATGAATAATTGTATCATCATCAAATTGTTATTATTATTATTTTGATGTTCATTTGATGAATAGGCAGGTGTGGACTGTGATGTGTTTATTGATTTTTCCATTTTCATTGGATGATGACTCATACCACACGGAACATCATCATGTGTGATTATTGATTTTCCCATTTTCATTGGATGACTCATACTACCACTTTGGACATCATGATGATCTTGTGGACAATGTTTCGGCTGAACAGATTTGCAATGAATATCTGTTTTATTGATTGATTTACCGCATTGACAATGTCCATATTGTTGATGATGATAATGATGATGATGTTGATGAAAACGATGATTGATCAATGATTTATGAGCATGTTTCGATTCAATATGTTGCGATTTCGATGATGAACGTGACCAAATACTACGTAGTCGTAATATTAGATTGATACGCAATTTATCAGATTTACATGATGATTTCAATAATTTTGAATTGGAAAAATTAATTAAAGAGAATAATTTGAATTTTTCTGTTGTAGAATTATTATTATTATTATTATTATTATTATTATTGTTATTAATTTCATTTTGTTTTGTTGAATTATTTAATGGTTTATTGATTGAATTATTTGTTTTATTTGTAATGAAATTGGTTTGTACAATATAATCACATGAATGCTTTTTATCATGATGATAGTGTTGTTTATCCACAGGAATTATTTCTGTAAAATTTTGATAAACAGATAAATAAATATAACTTTTATTTATAAATGACAATTTTTGTGTAGAATAATTATTTAAATAGAATAATGTGGAAAATTAAAGTCAAAAAGTTGGTGTTTTAATTCGTCGTTTACTGATGATCAATTTCTATCGAATGACTACTTTCAGTCATCTAGAATCCTAAAAATAGTACACATGATTTCCAGTCTGTTAGACTACTTGTAACATCACAATTTAATCGATGGAATATGATCACCACTAAAAGACTAGACAAACATGATATTCCTCACTACTTCCGTATCAATCACTAAATATTCCAGTCATATAGTAGGTCAGTTATATTAAAAATAGGCATTTGAAAACATTCCAGTATGAGAGACTAGATGATACAGGTTTAGATCCCATGAAGAACATCAGATTCTTCAATATAAAGTAGTTACAGTTTGTTGACGAGTGTCCAACTAACAAGAAACCTGGGTTTAAGGTTTTTTGTCAGTTATTCGGACTCACATAATAATACAGGTATATCCATTTGACGAGTCCCACATAACACAAAATGTGCCCTGTATTCCACCGTTAGCCATTATCCACATTTGATAATAATAAAAAGTTGTTTTAAACCTATTAATTTGAAAATGAGTTAGGATCACATCTCAAAAAACTGTCAGTAATCATTATTTATCCCAGATAGATTTTAGCAAGATAATTATTGAAGCCTAAGAAACCTTGGACATAAGTTTCATCATAGTTTTTGCGTTATCAGAGATAAGATTCACAATATTCGATCTCGTATTGAGCACGTTACCTCATTCATTCACCCATAATGTATGTGAGATAAATTCATTTCGAAAGTGAGTGTATTCTTAATTTGTCCGTATGGGATCGTGGAGATTAGTAGACTTTACTGAAATCATTAAAGATCTAAGTTAGACCATCATTGAGAGCTTTCAAATATTGAACAGCCATTTCATACACACTTTTTAACCCTAATGTCAATAGGGAAATAAAGAGACAGTGACAAATAACAGAAGCTTATTTTTGGAACTTTGCTGCATCTAATCCGAAGAATCTGAGACTCTAATATCTATTTTTGTTCTCTTTTTTCACTATAAATCTTGAGCTTTCGCTTGATATAAGATTCACTGTCATGCTCTGTTTCATTTCAAAATTATTATACCTTAAACATAACCCCGTACTCAATTTTTTCTACCTTAAATGCCTAGTTTGAACATAATCGTATTTTTTTTGACTATTTGTACATTCCAGTCTTGCTGAGCACATATTTATTCATGTATCCTTTTTCGTTAATCGAATTAGGAATCAATCGAGTAGTGTTCCAATCGATTCGTCTCCTCTCTCTCTCTCGTTTGCTAGCCTAACCGGTAATAGAACAATTTTCTTCCCTCTGCTCAAATTCATTTGGTCACAGCCAGACTCACGCATCACTAGTCTCAAGGTTAACTGGATTCATCACGTCAAGACTCTTTAACTGGATCGAGGCAAAATTATCTCCTGTGCATTAGTAGGCAGATGGTTCAAGCACGTAGCAATTCTCTTCCTTGCCTCTCAAAGTTTTCGAACCTTAAATCTCAATCGGAAACATGATATAAATTTTTGCTTCCATGATTAGTATATATACAGAAAACAAGAATATTTATGAAGGCAACGAGTTCATTAACTGATTAAACAGAACTCAGAAAACATTTAATTTTCAGAAGAAACCGATTGACCAAAGAATTTTCAGTACTTTTCCTGGAATCTGGTGAATTTTTCAAAAAATATCGATCATTCAAAGTCATGAAAAATATATAATGATATTTGTTAGTACAGTGTTGTGAAGATTGTTGAGTTTTATCAAAATCATGAACTGATCATTATTAGATCACTAGTGGAAACTTGGAAATACTGGGAAGCCGTCCTAGTATAGGACTCCATATTATCACATATCCACGACCTCTTGAATGGTGACTGATTGATTCAAGGTAGACATTAACACCATCGGATGCCGGCTCAGTGGCCAAAAGGTTAAGCGTTTACGTGTGAGACCGAACAGCTTAAGTTAGATTCCAGCTGTCGAAGTCGTGGATACGAACTGATGAGGAGTCCAATATTTGGATGGAACGCTTTTCACCTGCTTTCAGGTTTCCAATATTAGTCTAACATTGGTCAAAATTTCAGTTATGTTTTGAATTCAGAATTTCGAATATTTTCACTGCCAAAATTTCGCAATCTATTACAGGCCACAATTTATTACTTAAAAGCTGTCCACTTTACATATCTAACAGTGTCTAAATAATTTTAGTAAAATTAAAACTCCTAATTGTTATGTGGTTGAGAGTAGTGGTTAGAAAACTGTGCACGTAAGCTTTCTGCTATCCAGTACTCGTCTTAATGAGATTTAAGTCTGTGTCATCCCGTTCCCCACTATCATTGTACTTTTCAGGAAAAAACTGACTTCCTGAAAGACTGGGATATTGTTGGGGATGTTAGATCCCCAAAACTCGCTTCATAAAAACCTTATTTTGGTTTTCACGTTTGCCAGCATGGGCTGATCAGTTGACCTTGAGATTTCATTTCCCACCAGGAAAATCCATGGCTGTGATTGACTGTTGTGTTATTTAAGTGTGCTATTTTCGTAACTGTCCCAAGGACGTTTCTATGATGAATAAATAAACGAGAGTTGTGTGCTTGATGGTACTGTGATTGCTGGGTGTTTGTAGAATATACTTTCTATGCTTACAAAACCTTTTTACTTCAGCCTGGGGATTCAAGGTAGCCTACCTGGACGCTGGTAATTGTCTCGTTCTCGTTTATCGACTAAGGTGAACTCGTAATAGCTTCAAGCATACTTAGTGACGACTATAAATAGATATTTAAATAATTTTTTTATTTTCTATTCATCAACGTCATGCCTATTTATTTCTTTATGTAGTGATCGAATCCTATCGATCACGTCACAATGTATCCGTTTGTCTAAGTAACTGAACTTTGTGTGTACTATGTTAAGAGATGTTAGTATGTTCTGATTGTCTTACTATATATATATATATATATATATATATATATATATATATATATATATATATATATATATATATGTATACTGCGGGTGTCTTCATTCTATTGTGAAACACATGACTTCAATCTACATCAATATTTGCCATGTATATCATCAGAGATTTTTTAAAAGTCATTTTAATTGATAAAAAAAAAACTTTTCAATGAAATTCAGTCCATTAATTAGGTTGGTTTATTAAGCATAGTAATAGATCAATGGAACTTAATGATTCCCACCATAAATCTCTCTCTATATATATTAGAAAATATATACACAAGATTAGACCATACAATTGAATTATTTTGTAATTTGTATTGTACATTCGTTTTTTTTTTGTGTTTTTGTTCATACTTTCGAATAGCGCCATTGTTAATTGGGTGGTATTTTCTTAACCGAATGATTGATAATCAAGGCGTTATTATTAAATATCAACTGATTATCTGATGGTATGTTTACTCTAGAGAATATTCATTTAAATAGTCTTTCGAAAATTTAAAGTTTTGTTTGGCCTGTTTAATCTTTTAATCATGTCTACCACTATTATTATTCATCTACATTAAAGACACAATACTCGAATATGATGCTGACATTTAAACGTTAGCTGAAATTTCTCATGTGTGGGGTGACACCACTAAGTAATTAATGTTGAGACTAGATGTAGATATGGCTATCTATTATGATGTCGATATTTTCTGTGTCTAAACGTCAATTACTAAAACTTACTATACTGATTAGCAGAACAGTAAGTGAGAAGAACAGTAGTAACAACCGTTTAAGGATATAACTGATAGTCTGTAAATGCTGCCTAGTTAGGAGCTTACTAGTTAATTGTAATTTATAACTGAAGAGCTTAAAATCCAGTGTCGGTAGATTTCCTGCTGACTGTAATCATACACTGTATTTTCAAGCCAATGAGATCATTGGCCGAATTGGAAGTTGAATCAATTAATTTCGATCGATTTTAACAATCAAACAAAAGTAATCAATCAGATTTAATATTTTTGTTCATGAATTTTCATGCTCATTCTCAATAGATAATCAGGTTTAACTGTTTATACTACGTGTTTTAATTCTTTTCTAATTCAGATTTATATAAGCATGAACGATATGTTGCATAGACCGGATCATTAAAAAGTTTCATTTTTAAATTTGAACATCGGAAAGAAAAGATGCCGAATTGATCTCTGGCTTGTTTAAAATGACCTTGACCATATTACGTGTGACTGACTATCAAGTAGAAAATCACCTGGTCATGGAAAAAATCGAATTTTCTTTTTTTCAGTTCGTTCATTTTTAAAATTATTGTTCAAAAATATCAAATTTTATCATTCATTTCGTTTGAAAATATTTTAGAAAAATATACACATGAATCAGGTATCAAATTGACGATATAAGTGAAAATATTGAATCATTTCAAAATAAATTTAGTTGATTTAATGATAAAACGAAGTTTATCAACTCTATAAGTGGTGATATGCTCGTCAATCGATATGCTTGAATGCTATTACGAGTTCACTTTACTCGGTAAACTGTACGAAGCAATGACACGGTGACATGATAGGCTATTCTAATCCGTTTGTCCCAGCCCCAGCTAACTAGATCAAGAAGTCTTGTTAATATACGTAGAAAGTGTATTCTTCAAGCATCCAGAGAGTACGAGGTTGACAAACACACAAATCGAGCTTATTTATACATGATAGAATCTTCTTTGGGCAGAGCCACTGAAATAGCATACTAGAATAATGCGTCGACCAATTACAGTCAAAGATTTTCCGAGTGGGGAATGTAACCTCAAGGTCATTTGGCAGGCTTATATGCGAAAACACAAACAATCCAAAATTAAGACCTTTCCCAAGTGAGTTCTGGGGATCTAACGTCCCCAACAATATGTTACATGATAGATCAATAAATATATTTCGAATAGAATCTAATAATGTGTTA